GAAATAGATGAATTTAAAATTACCATATCCTTAGCATTTTGTGCAATAAGTTGATACAGAGTAAAATTCCGCCAGTAATTCAAAATAGTTAGAAAATATATTGTTTTCAAAATTTCATAACTCTTTAAATTTTTATAATTCGAATATACACGATTATTATTACAGTACTGAAGAATTGATAAGAGTTGCAAAAGGTTAATTTTCAAAAGATGGTATTTCATTAAATTATTATAAAAGTTTGATGAGGTTAGGTTGAATTTGAATTTTTGATAGATTAGATTGAATTAGGTTATTTTCACTTCCTTATTTAAGCTATTATATTGGGAACCTGAAAATTTTTTTTCCTATCCTTAGTTATGATCACACTTGTTAATTGACAATAACCACTTCATTCAACTGATATGCATAAAAATGCAAATGATGATTCGATGATGTGATGGTTCGAAGATTTGAAAGGTGTTTTGATCACTATGAACAATGTTTGACCATTATGTATAATGTACTTAAGCTAAAAATTCGAAGGATACTTTGATCAGTGAAAATTCATACCCGTTAATGGTGTTTGACCACTATGAAGGATGTTTGACCTGTTAATGGTGTTTGACCACTATAAAGGATGTTTGACTATTATGTACAATGTATTTAAGCTAAAAATTCGAAGGATGTTTTGACCAGTAAAAACTCGTTAATAGTGTTTGTCCATTATGTATAATGGTACTAAGCTTCCTTGTTTCTGGGAACCTGGAAATTTTTTTTCCTATCCTTGATTATGATCACATTTGTTAATTAACGAATAACATTTCAACTCATATGCATAAAAATGCATATGAAAGATTCCAAGATGCATGTAAAAATTCGAAGTGTGTTTTTGAGTTAAAATTCGTTAAGGATGTTTGACCAACTATGAATATTGTCAGACCATTATTTATAATGTGCTAAATTAACTTTTCCTTTTCGTTTTTTTTTTTTTGCACATTCCTCAAAAACAAACAAATAAAAAGTAAATTTTTTTTTTTTTTAGAACAATGATATGAT